GAGCAGAGGGCCGCAGAGTCAAGAACCACGCGGCGGGTGAAGCTGCTGCCTGCAGTGCTGCCATCCATATGGGCACCAGCTCGAGTCTCGGCTGCTCCACTTCCGATCCAGCTCCTTGCTAATGTGCCTGGGAAAGCAGTGGAAGATGGACCAAGTGCTTGGGACCCAACACCCACATGGGAAACCTGGAATAAGCTCCAGGCTCCTGGCGTCAGATCAGCCCAGCTCTGGCTGTTGTGGCCATCTGAGGGAGTAAACCAGCACATAGAAGATCTCTCTCTCTCTCTCTCTCTCTGCCTCTTCCTCTTCCTCTCTGTAACTCTGTGTTTCAAATAAATAAATCTTAAAAAAGCAATGCTTGTTTGGAAATACCAAGGACACCCGATTGCTGTGCATGGATTAAGGAGCTTCTGGCTTGTGTTTAATGTGGAAAGTACTGGAGAAGAGAGAGCCTGGAACCTTAGAACCAAAATAATATAGGCTTTACTGTGTTTTCCTTAACAGTTCCTTACTTTTTAAAAAATGTTTATTTGCTTGAAAGGCAGAATTAGAAGATGGAGACAGAGATCTTCCACCTACTCGTTCACTCTCCAGATGGCCACAACAGCTGGGACTGGGCCAGGCTGAAGCCAGAAACCTTGAACTTCATCCAGGTCTCCTATGTGGGTGACAGGGGCTCAGGTACTTGGACCATACTTCACTGTTTTCCCAGGTCCAGCCGATTGGAAGTGGAGCAGCCAGGACTCAAATTGGCACTCACATGCTGTGTTACAAGTGGCAGCTTAATCTATTGTGTCACAAAGCCCCTTACATTTATTCTTGACCACACACTGGCTACCTATAGATCAATAATCTTAGAACTCAGGGTGGGTGTTTGGCATATCAATAAGACAGCACTTGGGACATCTGCATCCCATATCAGAGAACCTGGGTACAGGTCCCAGTTCTGCTCCCGATTCCAGTTTCCTGGTAATGTGCACAGTGGGAGGCAGCAGGGGGTGGCTCAAATAGTTCAGTTCCTGCCATGCATCTGGGAGACCCAGGCTTAGTTCTTGGCTCCTGGTTTCAGCCTGGTGCATCCTCGGTTGGCGGGGGCATTTGGGGAGTGAAACAGTGGATGGGAGATCTCTCTGTCTCTATCTCAACCATCTGTATCCCTAACTCTGCCTTTCAAATAAGTAAGCTTAAAAAAAATCTTAGAACTGCAATCATTGTTTTTTGGAAGCTGATGACTTAGTATTTTCAACATTATGATCGTTGGCACTGAGAAAGAAATGCTTAAGTGTTAAATACCATGGCACAATGTGGATACTCCAGACTTCAGTGTAAGAACGAGCAACTGAAACGAGTTGTTAGCAGTAGTGGGTGGCAATATGTATTTTGTTCCCATGCAGCGCAGTAGGTTGCTTCATAATGTTTTTCTTTCTCAACCCTTAAAGTTTAATCATGTCTGAATAAATGGATTTGAATGGCTTTATTTTCTCCAAATTTAGCAGGAAAGAACTGTGAAGAAAGATTTATTTCATGGTTCATTGCCTCTAATATTCACGTTTGGAGTAATCCTAGTGCCTACCAAAAAGTAACCTGAAAGGAGGCAATCTGTGCAAGACGTGGGTCAGCACAGCACTGAAGCAGAATGATAAGAGATAGAGCAGCCAGTGGGAGAAAAAGTGTCTTCCTAGGTCATACCCAACTCTACCTGTGGAAAGACAATGACTTGCTGTACTACTTGGAATAATTCAAAGATGCGCTTTTCATGTTACGTAAATTAAGAGCTTTTTCATTACTGTTCGCAAGGACATCTTTTTCCTGTTGCATATAAAAGAGCCTCTGATGCAATCACAAAGTGAGGAAAGATGGGTCAATACTGTTGTACTTATTTTGTGTGTGCTGTAGAGAATTTGACACTAAAGACTGAAAGTTGTACATTCATCAGATTTTTAAAAAATTATTAACATAAAGACAACAGATTTCATGTGATTCAGAGATACTATTCTAAGAATTTAATTAAGCTTCCCTCCCCATTTCTTTCTTTTTTTTTGTAATTTTTGCAATAGCATATTTTTAATTTACTTTATAGTCACAGTCTTAATGCCTCAGTAAATAAGGAGTTAAACAAGTGAAAAACAGAAAGACCACTGTTCAGCAGGAATCCCAACAAGGACTATAAACAATCAAATCCCAATATGTCAATTTCACTCATGTACATTAAACAAAATGTACTCTACCTATTAACTACAACGAATCAGAGAAAGTGTGATATTTGTCTTTTGGGGTCTGACTTATTTTTCTAAGCATAATGGTCTCCAGTTGCCTCCATTGTGTTGCAGAAGGCAAGATGGAATACTGCTCAGAAATTTAACCAAGCTGGGCATGCTGAGTCTGTTTTTTTTTTTTTTTTTTTTTCATTTGATTAGTGGTATTTGATTCCCTATGTATACCAGGCACTGCACTAAATGGTTGGGATACTTCTGTGAACATAGGACTACATTATAGAGCAGGAGAAAACCCTACTCAGGAAGTCAATTATGAAGTGGACTTGAAGGTGATATTCCCTGGAGCAAAGGAGCAACAAACCCAGGAAGGGGGACCGGGTAGACATGGCGGGGAAGCTGCAGTATAATACGTAAAAAGGTGGTCTGGGCACTCTCTGTGCAAAGCTGATATTTAAGGGAAACCTTCACGTAGTCGTGTGAACTCTGTAGAGGAAAGCCTCTGGATCCCAGGGTGGAAACTCTCCTGGTTGTTTTGAGCCATGGAGGCAGGAGGGGGGCAGGGGGGCAGCAGTGAAAGGCTACAGCAGTAGAGATGAGCTGAGAGAGGTAACAGGGATTGGATCATGTGTGCCCTCATTGAGGTGGTGGAATCTTTGACTTTCACTGTTTTTTGTTATTTAATAACAGCTTTGTTGAGATATAATTCACATACCAACAATTCCCTCATAAGTGTATAATTCAGTGGTTTGTAATGTATTTGCAAAGTTGGGCCATCATCACTACAGAACATTTTCATCTCCCCTTAAGAAACCTCATAGGGGCTGGTGCTGTGGCGCAATGGGTTAAACCCCAGCCTGCAGTGCATTTCATATGGGCACTGGTTTGAGTCCTGGCTGCTCCACTTCTGATCCAGCTATTCTATGACAGTAGAAGATGGCCCAAGGACCCCTGCACCCGCGTAGGAGACCTGGAAGAAGCTCCTAACTCCTGGCTTCGGATTGGCACAGCTCTGACTGTTGTGGTCATCTGGGGTGTGAACCAGTGCATGGAAGAGCTCTCTCTTGCTCTCACTCTACCTCTCTTTGTAACTTTTTCAAATAAATAAAATAAATCTTAAAAAAAAGGAACCTCATACCCTTTATCTGTCATCCCTCTAAGCTCCTTTCTTTCTTGGGAACAGCTCATCTATTTTCTGATTCTATGGACTATAAAGTATGTGGTCTTTTGTGACACTTTGCATAATGCTGGCAGGGTTCATTATGTTATAATATGTATTAGTAGTGGTTCTTCAGTATCCAAGAGAGGTTCATTCCTGGACCCCTGAGGATATCAAAATCCATGTGTGCTCAATTATTTATACAAAATGTCATTGTATTTGCATAAAACCTATATTCATCCTCTCATAGCCTTTAAATCATCTCTAGATTGCTTATAAATACCTAATACAATGTAAGTATTTTGTAACTAGCTGTTATATGTTATTTAGAAGATAATGACAAGAAAATTAATACATGTTTAGTGCATACACAATTTTTTTCAAATATTTGCATCTATGGCTGGTTGAATCCATGAGTACAAAACCCACCACGGACAGCTGGCTGGACTTCATGCCTTTTTATGGCCAGTATTCCATTATACAAACATACCACATTTTGTTTCTGTTTGTCGATTGATGTGTATTAGGCTGTTTCCTCTTTTTGGCTATTATGAATAATGCTACTATGACATTTATGTACAAGCTTTTGAGTGAATGTATGTTTGCAAGTTTTGTCTTGGAGCTGAAGTCCTGAGGCACATGGTCACTGGCTGTTTAGCTTTTTAAGGAACTGCCAGATGTCTTCTGTGTGTCTTTGCCCTTTAACATTGTCTTAGCAGCATTCAAGGTGCTGATTCCTCCGCATCTTCGCCAGTTGTGCAGCCGTCCTCGCGGCTGGGCAGTGGTGTGTCATTCTTGTTTCAACTTTCTACTGCCTACTGACAGTGATGTTGAGCATCTTTTCACACACTTGGTCTTTTATTAATCTTCTTTGGAGAAATATCTATTCAGATTATTTGCCACTTATTAAATTATGTTTAATTGCCTTTTTATTTTTGAGTTACGAAAGTTATTTATGTTTTTAGATATGTCTCTTTTTGGGTAAATGAATTGAAAATATTTTCCCCCATTCAGCACCTGCCAAAGGCTTAATAATAATGTTGCTGATTAACTATTTGAGTGTCCCAAATTATATTTTCTACCTCCTTAAATTATTAAAATAAGTCAAAATAAATTGATACATGTTTCATTATTTTATCACTTATAAATTCATCATTATGATTGGTGAGTGTTTAATATTTTTTAAAGATTTATTTATTTGAAAATCAGAGTTGCACACAGAGAGGAGGAGAGGCAGAGAAAGAGAGAGAAAGAGGGAGAGAGAGAGAGAGAGAGGTCTTCCATCCGCTGGTTCACTCCCCAATTAACCACAACGGCTGGAACTGTGCCGATCCGAAGCCAGTAGCCAGGAGCTTCTTCCCGGTCTCCCACACAGGTGCAGGAGCCCAATGACTTAGGCCATCTTCTACTGCTTTCCCAGGCCATAGCAGAGAGCTGGATCAGAAGAGGAGCAGCTGGAACTAGAACCAGTAGGCATATGGGATGTCGGCACTGCAGGCGGTGGCTTTACCGCTATGCCAAAATGCCGGCCATAATATTTGTTTTTTTAATGAATATGCAAATTACAAAAAGTATAGGATACAGTTTTTTGTTTAAAAAAGTTAATATTTTATTTTAAAATTTTGTAGATGGAAAGAGTGGAAGCTGATTTAACTAGATCCAAGTCTCTTCGTGAGAAGCAATCAAAGGAGTTTGTGTGGCAGTTGGATGACGTCAAACAACGATATGAACAGCAGGTTGGTCTTTCATTTTGATGATGCCACAATTTCAATATTTATTTTAATACTTATATACTTATATGCCACTTAATCTTTTAAACATCACTTTCTATCATAAATGTCTGTATAAAGTGAATATTACTAAGAGCTATTATTAGTAATATGTTTGAAATCTTAAAAATAATATTTGTTTCAGTAAGATCCTGAAAACAGAATTTTAACACTCCATTGGTCTATTCTGGCAGTTTGTTAATCTGAATGTTTAACTAGACATTTATTGTGATTCTTGAGTTCTTCTGTGCCCATCAGAGTGCTAGTCTGGCTTCTTCGTTTCCTGAGGAAGTAGAGCTGGTGCCTGTTATGTGCCTGGTAGTTACCAGCACTGGGGCCAACTGTGGTAGAGAAACAAGATTTCTTCTCTTAGAGAGCTTGCATTTTGATGCGGAGTCCGCCTGTAATCAATTTGAAGAATGATTTATGAAAAAGAAAACGGCATGCACTTGCAGACTTTGCCAGGTAGAGGGTGGGAAGGGAAATATGTTGGGTGAGTGGTCGGGAGCTGACCACTTCACATTTGTGCTGAGAGTCCTGAACCCTGGGCGCAGCCAGCTGTGGCATCTCCGGAAGATACTGCTCTAGTTTGAGAGAACAGCAGGTTGGAGGGCCTGAGATGAGAATGAGCTGGGCGTGTTTAAGGAGGAAAGTGAAGATGCAGACCAGTGTAGCTGATGTGTGGGGAGAGAGGCTGCCGCTGCGGAAGAGGGGAAGGGGCGGTTGGTACCGGATGGAAGGAAACCCCGGGCACCCTGCCTCTCACTAAATAACAACAACAGCTTTTCCTTCTTACTCCCAGACTATTTAAGGTAGCTATTAATTTTTGCTTGTTACCTTCAGAAAGATTTAAGCACATTTTTGATAATGAAACAACTATACATCAAAAATATAGTCCAGTTTTATAACTGTTGCTTGGTATTACTTTATTATATACTAAGTTGGAAGGCTCCCACAACAGAAATAACATATCTGAATGGAACAAAAACAGTTACAAAACTCATGGATATAGAAAAATTAGTGCTTTAGGGGAAATTTATGGGAATTCATGCTTATATTAAAAAAGAAGACAAATCTCAAATCAATGATTTAAATGTCTAACTTAGAAAGCAAGAAAAAGATAAGCAAGTTAAACAAAAAACAAGCAAACATCCACAGAAGAGGAAATCCAGAGCCAAGAGTAGTAGCTACCATTGTTATGTTGATTTAACAGTCAAGGAGACTGAGGCACAGAGAATTTGAGTACTTTGGCCAAGTTCACAGTCCTTACTGGCAGTGCCATGGTTCAAACCCAAGCTGTCCAGCAGCTTTGCCTGCGATAACAGCTGTGCTGCCCTGCCTTTTAACCTCATCAAAAAGAAACTGAGAAAATCTCCCAGAACATAGAACAAAAGGCAGAGAGACAGAGTAGGTAAGAGGTTCAGTGTATTGTCCAGGAAGGTGAACATTACTGTCTAGTCAGGAGTCCAAGACAGGAAACAGAAATAAGAGGAAGGGAAGTTATTAAGAAAGTAACGCAAGAAATGTCTGTGGTGCCAAAGAAAAGCTTTCCGGAATTTTAGAGAACCAAGGACAAAGGAAAATCCTCAACATGGAAGTGGCAATTGGCTGTTTCTTTGTGAGACTGATCTCTTAAACTGAGTCTTGTTTGGCATGCTGTGGGTTTCTGGAGTCAATGTTTGAATGAATTGTCACTGTTAAAGTACATATGACTTTCTACAGAGATGCAGGTGTTAGGTCTGTCTTGCAACCTTGGTAAATCTGGCAATTCTAGGCCCACATTTCCTCATGGCAACCATCGACAGGTGTTATGACATTGGGTTAGTTAGGAAGGAAATGTGGTCTTAGCAAAATAAAGCTTTTCATTAAACAATATGTATGTAGTCATACTAATTAGATGATATGTGGTGTTGTTCAACTTCACAACTCGATTATGGCTGTAGACCAGAGCATACAGATAATCAATCCCATTGTTGTAGTAGTAAAGTTAGAGGTGACAGAGGCGTGGACATTTAAGGAAACAACAGAAAAGAGAGGGAAGGGGAAGGGTGAGACCACTGAGGTGTTAATCCTGTCAGCTAATCTGCTGTCCCTGTATCAAACAATACATGGAAGGTGTGGTTTATTCTTTCAAGATATGAGGTCAACCTGTGGAGGACTGATAAATCTATATTGAGAAGAATGGAAGAGAGGAGGCATGAGAATGTGAATCCCCATTTGTCATGGTAGAAAAATGGTAAACAGTGTCTAGAATTGGTAGATTAGGAAAGAGCTAAGCAACCATGAAATGTAGAGGTATGCAAGTAATCATCAGAGAAAGGTCTAACAGAGTTGCCACCAGTTCTGGAGGAGGATGGGGCAAGAGCCTGTTACTTTCCAAAATAAGATGGCGGGCTTTTGGTCTAGTGGTGAGTGTGCAGGTTAAGGTGCCCACATCTCATATCAGAGTATCTAGGTTTGATTCCCAGCCTCAGCACCCAATCCCAGCTTCCTGCTAATGTAGATCCCATGGCAGCAGCAGGTGATGTCTCACATAATCAAGTCCCTGCCACCCGCATGGGAGACCTGGATTCAATTCCTGGCTCCCAGCTCTGGCTTGGCCCAGTGCTAACTGCTAGGGCACTAGGGAACCAGCAAATGGGAACTGCACACTCTGTCTCTCCTTCTTTCTCCCTGTCCACCTCTCTAATTAAAAAAAGATGATTCTTACAACTTTAGTTTATGAAATCATGTATGTACATCCTGTTGATTTAAGCACTTAATTTATATACTGTTTAATCTGAAAATTTCATTTCTTAGAACTTATCCTCAGCCGGCGCCGCGGCTCACTAGGCTAATCCTCCGCCTTGCGGCGCCGGCACACCGGGTTCTAGTCCCGGTCGGGGTGCCGGATTCTGTCCCAGCTGCCCCTCTTCCAGGCCAGCTCTCTGCTGTGGCCAGGGAGTGCAGTGGAGGATGGCCCAAGTGCTTGGGCCCTGCACCCCATGGGAGACCAGGAGAAGCACCTGGCTCCTGCCATCGGATCAGCGCGGTGCGCCGGCCGCAGCGCGCCAGCCGTGGTGGCCATTGGAGGGTGAACCAACGGCAAAAAGGAAGACCTTTCTCTCTGTCTCTCTGTCTCTCTCTCTCACTGTCCACTCTGCCTGTTAAAAAAAAAAAGAAAAAAAAAAAGAACTTATCCTCTAGAAACATTTATGCAGTTGCAAAAAGATACATGTTCATTATTTGAACTATCATGAATAGTTCAACTTTTATTAATACAATTAATGATTATGTAAATTATTCTAAATACATATTGTGGAATACTATGTGTTTGTTAGAAAAATTGATATGAATCTATAGGTGCCAACATACCCAGATTTCTGAGATAGACTGTATAAGGGGATAAAGCACATGTTAGAACACTTTGAATATTATGATCTCAATATTTATGTGAAATTAAAACACATGTCTATATCCCATTTAAGTATATATGTAAATTTAGTTCAAAAATCTGGAAGATTATGCATGTTTCTGGAAAGGGCATAAAATTATTAGGGGTATGGTAGATTAAGATTTTCATTTTACCCTCTAAATAAACTTTTTTACTTGAAATTTCATAATCAGCATGTTTTAAGCAATACTTAGATAATTAAAGCATTAATAAGTTCTAGGAAAAATAGATTTTAGTAAGAATATTATAGAGCACTTATATATATAGAATATTGAGTAGGTAATAAATTTGGGTTAATGAAATAGAAAATACAATTTATATACAGTGTAAAGTTAACCATGAGGGCCCACATTATGGTGTAGTGAGTTAAACTGCCACCTGCACTGCCAGCACCCCATACGTGCACTGGTTCAAATCTCAGCTGCTCTACTTCTGATCCAGCTCCCTGCTAATGTGCCTGGGAGATTAGTGATAGATGGCCCAAGTCCTGGGGACTCTGCACTCGTGTGGGAGACCGAGATGGAGTTCCAGGCTGCTAGCTTCAGCCTGGCCCTACCCTGGCCATTATGGCCATTTGAGGAATGAACCAGTGGATGGAAAATCTGTCTCCTTTTCTCTCCTCCCCCCTCCCTTTCTCTCTCTCACTCTCACTCTGCTTTTCAAATAAATAAATCTTTAAAAAATATAACAAAGAGATTAAAAGCCTAAAAGAAGAAATGACAGATGATAGAGTGCAGGTAGATCAGTTTCACAGGTGCCAAAGTCTGGAAAACTTTGGGGTTTATAACTGTAAAAGCCAGTGCAGTGGAGTTACTTCATCAGGTTCTTCTTTTTATTTTATTTTTTTAAGATTCATTACTTTATTTGAAAGAGTTACAAGAAAGGGAGAGACAAAGTGAGAGAGAGAGAGATTCCATTCTCTGGTTCACTCCCTGGATGGCTCCCATGGCCATCCACTGAGCTAGGCTGAAACCAGGAGCCAGGAGCTTCATCCATGTCTCCCACGTGGGTGGCAGGGGCCCAAACACTTGGGCCATCTTCAGCTTTTCCTAGTCCACCACTAGGGAACCAGATTATAAGTGGAACAGCTGGGACATGAACCGGTGCCAATGTGGAAGCCAGCGTTGAGGTGGCAGCCTTACCCGCTCCACAACACTGGCTCCTCATCAGGTTCTTTTAAGAACAGTGGTATAATTTGGGAATGGAGTTGGATAATTTCTAATAAATGCATTCTGGCAATGGAATGTCATTCTGATCCATGCCAACTTGAAGGGATGTGTGTATTTCCACTGCAAAAACAATTTAAAGAGCCATGGAGGATGTTTGCCACAACTTCAGTGCTGTCAGAATGGTTGCTGGGAAATTAACTTTGGAAATTAAGTATAGAACATCATGTCAAGAAGTGGAGCACAGAATTGGGGAGTGAAGGGGTGAGAATGAAACAGGTAATGATTAATCTAATGTAAATAAAGATATCAAGGGAGGGTATGGAATGCTGTTTCTTCTTCTTTTCTTTTCTTTTGAATTTATTTAT